CAGCTGCGCCTGGCAGCTTCCACAATGGAGGTTTTGAACAGGGTCCATTCAGACTCTATGTCCCCTACCTCCTCCGGGACATGAGAAAAGCTCTCCCGGAGGTGGGAGTTAAAATCATTCCGAACAGGGGCCTCCGACAGTCGTTCCCAGCACACCCTCACTATTCGCTTGGGCCTACCGGGTCTAACCCTCAGTCTTCCCTGCCATCTGATCCAACTCACCACCAGATGGTGATCAGTTGACAGCTCAGCACCTCTCTTCACCCGAGTGTCCAGAACATATGGCCCCAAGTCAGATGAAACGACAACAAAGTCGATCATTGACCTTTGACCCAAGGAGCTCTGGTACCATGTACACTTATGAACATCCTTGTGTTCGAACTTGGTGTTCGTTATGGACAATCCATGCCTGGCACAGAAGTCCAATAACAATTCACCATTCGGGTTTAGATCGGGCAGGCCGTTCTTCCCAATCACGCCTCTCCAGGTCTCCCAGTCATTGCCAACATGAGCATTGAAGTCTCCCAGTAAGACTATGGAGTCTGTAGTTGGGACCCTTTCCAGAACCCCGCCCACTTGCTCCAAGAAGGCCGAATACTCCGACCTGTTGTTTGGTGCATAAGCACACACAACAGTCAGAGTTTTCCTCTCTGCGATTTTAATACGCATTGAGGCGACCCTCTCGTCCACCGGGACAAACTCCAACTGTACTGCCGCCAGCCGGGGACTCGTGAGTATCCCCACACCCGCCCGGCGCCTCTCACCTTGTGCAACCCCGGAGTAGGAGAGGGACCAACCCCTATCCAGGAGTTTGGTTCCAGAGCCGATACTGTGGGTGGAGGTGAGCCCAACTATATCTAGTTGGTACCTCTCAACCTCCCGCACAAGCTCCGGCTCCTTCCCCCCCAGTGAGGTTACGTTCCACGTACCAAGAGACAGTTTCTGCCGCAGGGGCCTAGGCCACCAAGGGCCCCCCTGCAATCTCCCACTGCCTGTACGGCACTGCACCACTCCCCCATGCTGGACCTTGCGGGTGGTGGGCCCACATGGTCCCCCCACGTTGCCTCTTCGGGCTGAGCCCGGCCGGGTTACGTGGGCTGCCCGGCCACCAGGCGCTCAAACCACTCCACTAAAAATACAGAGATTCACTGCAGATTCATACCAGATTAAAACCACTCCACTAAAAACTACAGAGATTTACTGCAGATTCATACTGGATTAAAACCACTCCACAATTATTACTGTCAGACTGTAAAAACTACGCACTCTGCAGATATATACCAGATTAAAATCATGTTTAAACTCATTGCTAATCACTTAAACTGCAGCACCTCTCTAGGTGCAGGCAATCAAACTAAGGGATGCATATCGCTGTTGTCGGAACAAAACCTCGTATCTCCAAAATGGTAACTTTACAGGAGAAGGGAAAAACATGCTTAACTTTTAAGGTAAATCTATGAAACCAGACTTATTTCCAAGTCATTTTGGGTCATTTAATTTAATCCATTCACCATGAAATTTATGTACAATGTAAAGGGTAACAAGCATTTTCAAATTATGTCAAAAACTGAAAAACGTGAAAAATGGAGATGGAGTACGGCAGCAAGGCTCTGGAATGTTCTACCTAAAAATGTTCTTTTTAAAATAATCAATCTTTTATATTGCAAATAAACACAATCAGCACCTACAGTTACACTTTACTGTCATTTATCTTTCAGTTAATCTTGATATTTTTTCACATTTCTCATTTTTGCTTTTCTTTCTTTCTATTTTACCAAATTATCATGTCTCTATTTACATTTTATTTAGGTTTTTAAGCCTCTATTTTTCATATTTCATCAGCATTATGTATTATGTTTGTTTTTATAGCACTTTGTGTTTTGCTTCATAAATATAATGTATTATTACATGGAAGCATCGATGTGGGAATTCTGGGCCGCTGCCAATATCTGATATTTTTAATGTACATCTGCTGATACTGATATCTAAACGTTTATAAAATGCAGAAATTTTATGTTCTATCATGTTCAAGATCACAGAGAAGAGTATAGTTTTTTTTTTGGGAGGATTTAAAATGCAGCAAAATAAATAAAAAAAGCCATTTTAGCACAGTAGCCCAGCACTTCCATGTACAATAAATGACAAAAGAAGTCCTTAGACAAGACTCCTAATGCTACATTCACCTGCGTCTGTAGCGTGACAAAATTGTAAGTTGCTCTGGATAGGAGTGTTTGCCAAATGTGTGAATGTAAATCTAAACATTTGTCCAATACTGGTCATTTTTTTAAGCAAATATTTGCCAAAACTACCAAATTAAATTCCAGTGTTATTGTTCATAGCAGCAGCAGTAGCAGTTTGACTGTGAATAAAAGCAGGTGAGAAATGCTCTGAAAGACTCTGCTGGGTTAAACACACTGAGCACTGTGATCTTCGCCTGGAGGAAGTCAGGTTATTAAAAAGAAATATTGCTTCATAAAATCAGTCCCCAACTGTTACTACATGTATGTGGTGTGTGTCTTGGTATGTGTATTTGTGCTTGTGTGTTTTCTGTGTAAAAGGAAATGACGCGTTATGTTCTCTATTATGAAAGGAGTTTGTATTGTATGCCGTATGTTGACAGCTCTTAAGATGAACACCTGTATTCAGGGACATATTTTTCACTTTTTTTCCTTTTACTTCTGCAGCAGTGTGCATTTCTAAAAAGTTTCAGAGAGGCTGTCAGGTCACATTGTGATGAATTAAGGTGTGCTGGGGCCTTGCTGCAGGGATTTGTAAAATAAGCACAGGGGCTTCTTTAATCAAATGCTGTTTACGAAAATGAAAAGCTTCTACTGACACATTTATTCTCCTCCGAGGGAAAGACAGCCCTTCATACCCATACAGAAAACAATAGAGCCAACTTCTGATGTACTTGTTGCTCATCTCTCTTGTGGGTTACCTTCGTGTTTTCTTTTCTATTATGAAACATTTAACTGATAATGTGTTTTCGTTTGTAGCACAATCTGAAACTAAGCAGCCTGAAATTAAAAAAAAATATTTAGTTAACTGAAACTGGTTTGGCAATTGCTTATGAAGTATAAACAACGGAACTGACACTCATCAAATGTGCATCCAAAGTAAACCATTTGAATATGATATGACTGGTGCAACTATCTTGAGTGTTTGTCAGAAATTCTGCATATAAATGGTTAAGAAAGCAAAGCAAACAAAGTCATTCAAAGTCTGAAATGCTCCACTTTAGAGAAACTTACAGAGTCAGAATTGTTCACAGTGGTGGTGATAGGAACCAGACGTCTGAAGAATTTAAAGACTCTGAAAGCTCCCTTACAGAAGGTTAATACACACTCCCAGAAATAAAGGTACGAAACTGTCACAGGGGCAGTACCCCTCTTGTCACTGGGGTGGTACCCTCAAGAATACATCACAGTACCTTTAGTCAGGGAACATAATTGTACCATAATCCACTGAAATTATATTTGCTAAGTTGTAGTGACTCCACACTGACACACATTGTCAGTGTGGAGTCAATACAACAATGTGACACACATTGACTCCAGGCTTAAAAAAATTTGGTTATGAAAAGGTAGAAATCTGTATTTTTCACCAGGAAACACTTATTTAAGGTACACGATTGGACCTTAAAACCACTGTTGTACCTTTGAGGATACATTTACATTTTTGTACCTTGATGAATGAAAAAAGTACCTGTACAGAACTTTTATTTCTGACAGTGCATCAAATGGTTACAAATAATCTGTCTTGTACCTGAGACTGTGTTAAGGTGGTTTAGAGAAGGTTTTGGCCTATACTGAGAGCCTGTTTACACCTTGCATTAACATGTGATTCGTGCCCGAATCGTATCTGGATAAACTTAGGCTGGATTTCCATTTCATCGGCCCAGTGTGCAGGAAAGCTTTTGGTTTATGGGATTAACTTCAGCCTCATCTTTCATTTCATTGTTTATTCTCTCATCTGCTAGTTAGAGCTCATCAGGCGCATTTCCATTCATGTAATTGTATACGGATGATGAAAATGCTTCCCATTTACACTTGTGTTAAATGTGGTCAAGATCTGTCTATGAGCACCACTGAACGAGTGATCCTGCAGGGTGATGCATGCTGGGTGTGTGTTTACACCTGGCTTTTTTATGCAATCAAATCTGAACATGATCTGATCAATGAAAACGGATGTTAACGCAAGGTGTAACCGGCCCTAACTTTCTCTGCAATGAATCAGTGAACATAAGATTACTCTGAATAGCTTTATTTACTTAACAACTAAATTATGCAGAAATTTTGAAACTCGGTGCAATTCCCCATTAAGGATAAGGCTGGGTTAGGTGTAGCACAGCAGCACTTGACTACTGTCATACAAAATGCAACCTTAATACCCCACAAAGACAGGAATACAAACGTGGACACAAAGTCCTCAATGTGAGGCATTTTGTGTAGCGTTATCAAACCAATAGGTGGCAATGTAGAGAAAGACAGATAAGCGGTGCACAGCGCGCAGTGTTATTCATTTCCCACCCATATTCCGGCAAAACACGCCTACCCCGGTAAGATCGGCCATATGAGCCATTAATCAGTCCTATATCAGCACAGCTTTACTTATATAGTCATGATAAATAATAAATGGACTTACTGGATCAAAGTGTCGATATACTTTACTCACAGTCTATTTATGGTATTAGAAACTGTTTATAAATGGTAGACTAGATACCAAATTCAGTAAAAATGACTTTTTTACTGGATCTGGATCTGTCTAGATTTCAGTGCAATGTTTATTATGTGAGAACAGACACAGTCCTGTTCGCGGGTATTAAAAGCTTTGGTTAAATCAATGCACAGGGTTCACTGCCCGTAAGAATAAACTATAAGCCAATCGCAGCGCAGGAGGGCGGGGCTTGTCCAAATACAGGTGGGAAAAGAAACAAGCTCGGAGTGAAAGCGTGGGCAGAGCTCAGTTATCAGCCTCGCCGAGAGCACGCACGCTGGAGTTTGACTCAACAGAAAGTGAGAAGCAACTCCGAAGACTGAAACATTTCGGATTTAAAACAAGGAATAATAACACAACACACACAACACAACACAGAGGGACCACAAAAAAGAAACAAAATTCTGAGTTTTGAGCGATGCGCTGCTGGCAGCATGGCCAGATGGTTCAAGGAGCACCTGGGATTCAAAAGCACCAAAGCCTCGCCACCGGCGCCGCCGAAGCCGGACTACCGTCACTGCCACGCCGGCGCTGTATCAGGGGCACCCGGCTACCACCACCACCACCAGCCCGGCTACCAGAGCGCCGCGCAGCCGGACATTCTCGCCGCCTACAAGCTCCAGAAGGAGCTGGACTTCGAGGACCCGTACACGGCCGGAGGAAGCATTCCCTTCTCTGGAGGAGGATCGAGCTCCGTGGGCTCCTCGCCAGACGTCAAGTATGTTTCGCCCAAACACCGGCTCATTAAGGTGGAGACGGTGGAGAGGAGCACCGCGGTGCCCCAGGCAGCGGCTGCTGCTGTCGCTGTGACCGGGGGGCAGGCACCCGCAGCCGGCAGCAGCAGCAAGTCCCCCACGTCCCCTCCGGCCGAGGCGGAGAGTAAGCAGGAGAAGGTAAGCGAAGCTCACGGCTACTTTTAGGCTGCTCAGGTGGGGCTCGCCGGCCAGGACGAAGTAAATATCGCATCAGTTTCGCGTTTTGTGGCGTTTTGTAGTGTTTTGTTGTTTCCCACAACACGAATGACTCTTCGTAAACAACCGCAAGCGGAGATGTGGACTTCAGTCAGATTTGTATTCTGTCAAGTTAGTTAGCTTAGATACACCAGTGGGAAGATCATGTCCTGATGTGCGTTTTTCCTTTGTAAACTCGTTGTTTGTGTTTCAGTTCATTCAACATTTTTAATTTTGACATTTTTAGGTTATTGATGTGTTTTTTTAACTCAAAGCCGGAGTTCATTTCTCCTCCTCAGCACTGTTGGCTGAGCTCTCCACGTGTTCCAAACCTGTAAAACGGGTCGTTGGGTCTGAGCTTCCCTCTTATTGGGAAATCTTGAGATGTTACACTGCAGGTGGTCCTGTCCTGTCGGACTAGTGCGCTCGTGTTGAGTTAAACCTGTGTTAAACAACTTTAACACATTCCTGTCCAACAGCTGACTGTTATATGATGAGGAAAAATTCCAAACAAGTTGATCTGAATGGTGTAATTTTGTATACACTCTAAAAATAAAGTGGTTCTTCAAGAGCTCTTAAAGAGAATTGTTCTCTTTAGAACCATGATTTCTATATAGAACCATTTCATGCTTCTTTGCATGGTGAACCCATTTTGGTGCTATATAGAGCCATATACAACACATTCTCCATCAATATGAACAACCATTTCACCATGCAAAGAAGCATGAACTCGTTTTACATAGAACTTGTGGTTCTTTAAGGGTTCTTTAGTAAAAGGAATGATTCTGTTTAGAACCATGCATTCTATATAGAACCATTTCATGCTTCTTTGCATGGTGAACCCTTTTTGGTGCTATATAGAGCCATATACAGCACATTCTCCACCAATATGAAGAACGATTTCACAATGTAAAGAGGCATGAAATGGTTCTATATAGAACTTGTGGTTCTTTAAAGGTTCTTTAGTAAATGAAATGATTCTGTTTAGAACCACAAGTTCTATATAGAACCATTTCATGCTTCTTTGCATGGTGAAATGGTTCTACAGATTGATGGAGCATGTGTTGTGGTTCCGTATAGCACCAAAATGGATTCTTCTACTGTTCCAATGTTAAGCTTGTAACAGTAGGAGAACCCTTTTTGGTGCTTTATAGAACCATTTTCAAAAAACTCCTGTATAGAACCATGTACAACACATTCTCCATCAGTTTGTGGACCATGCAGAGAGCCATTTAAGCATGAAATGGTTCTATATAGAACTCATGATTCTAAAGAAAACCCTCCCCTTTACTAAAGAACCCCTAAAGAACCATATCTTTTTTTTTTAAGAGTGTACAGGTTAGGTTACATATCATTTTCATACTTTTTTCACAAATTAGAATGTTCTGTTGTTTTGTTAAAGTCAGTAGCCCCTTGTGAGCAAATGACTGTGTATAATGAAAAAATAAGCACTAAATTGACTTTTTTTAGCCATATGGTTTTATTGATTAGGAACATTTCTTCAGATTATGCTCAGACAGATTGGGTTAGATTTGTTAAATCTTATGGATGGAAGCTCATATAAACTTTTCCTGGGTGCTGCAATATCCTAAACTAATAAACCCACATTATAAGTAACTAGTTAATCAAATAATAAGTGTTTAATAATTCATTCTTTCTTATATATTTATCTCCGTAGACTGCAAGTTGTGCAACACTGCTGCTAATAAATAATATGTTGAGAAATAATAATAAAGATAACAGAGCAATCTAATGCATAATATATCATGTCTGATAGCCTGATTATAATTATAGTGAGGATAATGAAGAACAGTGCTCTCCATTCTCATCACCTCACAGTTCCTCTGGTCATGAATCACTGAAATTGCTCAACGGTGGTTGTCCAACTAATCCAACGTCAACACCCAGAATAACGTGCACACATGTTGTTTTTGTTGAAGTGAGTTATGTCAGAGTGTAGTAGTTTGGTTTGCTGTGTCTGGAGAGCAGCCAGGATCGTTTCAGGTGTGTAAGCCATGTTCCTGATCCCATACTTCCTCTCGCTCATACCTGCCGCACCTCTCTAGGGTGTGGCGCACACATACACAGCTAGACTTGCTGGTGAGTGGGCTTATTCTACTCACAAAGACTGAGAGGCTGTAAATGCTTGTGGCAATGGAGAGTAAATATTGCTCACCTGCAGTTTTTGTCCTCAGGTCAGTTTAACTGTGTTTTTAGGATTGTAAAGCCTCTCTTTTACACATGGAATGAAAGATGATGCAAGTTTTTAATTCCTTCCCCTTCTCACCATGCACTAGAGGCGGGCAGTGGGATGACATGTTATCATTATCGTGTTTAATTGCGTCTTAGTAAGCTTTTCAGAACATATGCTGTATCTTAAAAAAACAGATGTAGACCAACTATAGAGTCTCTAAACAGCAACCTAACCTTAACTTTGGCAAAACATAGTAAATATAGAGGGGATGCACCACTTTTTGCCCTCTGACACATATACCGATACTGACTCTATTTAACAAGACTGCTTGATTGGTTCCTATAAATTCAGAGATGTATATAATTACACTTTTCAAACTTTTCACAAATAAAATATACTAAGCTTGAATAAATAAAAAAACACATGCTGCTGTTGTTGGAACAAAATCTTGTATCTCGGTTTTTTTTCTTTAACTGAAAGATTAAAAGACAGTGAAGTGTAACTGTAGGTGCGGATTGTGTTTAATTGCAATGTAAAAGATTAAGATTATTTTAAAAAGAATCTGGTTTTTAGGTAGAACGTTCTAGAGCTTTGCTACCGTAGACCCACTGCCCCCCTCCCCACCCACTGAACCCCCTCCCCACCCACTGAACCCCCTCCACCCATCATATCACTGTAGTTGGAACAAAACCTTGTATCTCCATTTTTGTCGTTTTTCAGTTTTTGACATATTTCGAAAATGCCTGTTGACCTTTACATTGTGTTTAAATTTCATGATGAATGGACTCAAAGAAATGGCCCAAATTTACTTGGAAAAAATTCTGGTTCCATTGATTTACATTAAGAGTAGAGTATGTTTTTTCCTTCTCCTGTAAAGTTACCATTTTGGAGATACTTGTTTTTCTTTGGACAGCTGCGTTATAAACTAGGGGTGTAATGATTATTCGACATAGTCAACTAAAATTGGAGACCAAATTAATTGGCAGCTAATTTAATAGTCGATTAGTTGGTGACGTCATCACGCTGAGTTTCTCACGCTCACTTTTTTGACATTGCCGCATACTGGAGAGTTAACAAAAGTGCGATGGCAGCCTCAAAAACAAAATCCTCAAGTGTGGGAGCTAAACTCAGAAAGAAAAGGCTGTCAGCTGTGCTATTTGTAAAGCTGACTTTAGTTGGCACAGAAGCACATCCTCCATGTTGGAGCATCTTAGAATGAAACACGCGTTGTGGCATCACCAACTAATTGACTGTTAAATTAGTTGCCACCTCATTTGGTAGTCAGCTTTAGTCGACTAAGTCGTTGCACCCCTACTGTGTGTGTGTGTGTGTGTGTGTGTGTGTGTGTATATATATATATATATATATATATATATATATATATATATATATATATATATATATATATATATATATATATAAATATGCTTTTTTTCATTTATTCAAGTTGAAGAACATTCATCACGGAGAGTTAGCTGTGCTAGCTAGTTAGCTAATGTTAATGCCAAAAGCCTTCTTACTTCATGTTATGAGCTGAGCTGTAACATGTTCTGTAACGAAATGCACGTTGACTGGTATCATTACTGGAGTTGGAACGGAGAAGCAAATAACTATTACTCGCGGCCACATTGTTTACTTTCCAAATAACATTTACGGTTTAAAACATTGCATCGTTGTCTTAACAACGAGACGACCATTGGTGGTTGAATATAAAAAGTTCTTTTCTTGGTAGTCTTGTAAGTGTCCCTTCCACACTATTCTCAAACTTCAGAAAAACTACATATTGTAATATGTCATTTGTCAAAGTCTTCATGCATCATGATGCTCTATTTTTGCCAGTTCTTCCACTGCTACCATGCCCTGACGTTGTCTGTTGTCGCTAAGGTTGGAAATGGTTAATCAATAGCCAGGCTAAACCCTGTTGCCTCATTAAGGGTAGAATGACTATTGGGCTTGTAATGGCTAAGCTTGTGTGGCCTTTGTGTAGCGTTCATGTCTGATTCCCTCAGACTCACATGTTCTGCAGTTTAATCTATCCCTCAATCTGATGACGGACAGGCAGGATTTTAATCCTTTCCAATCGACATGCTCCAGAAATGCCTATCAGAGCAGTGACAGTGGGCTAACTGACTTATCTGTCCCTTTAGACAATGCAGCGGCTGTTCTCTCTAATTAAAAAGCTGCATGCTGCTTCTGTCTCAATACTCGTCAGTCTTTTGACTGCAGCAGTAAGGAAATCACGACATTTGAAACAAGTTAAAGAATGTAGTATGTGCTGGTATACACTGTTATTAACAGTTAAAAGTTGAACTGGAGAGGCAAGTTTACCCAGAACGGTGAATTATATGTTGTTGAATGATGGACATACGCAGGAAAACAGTATGAGGTAAAGGAATGACGCAGACTGCAGGTATCCAGTTTATGTTGCTTATTTAAGGACAAGCTTCTTGAAAAATCATATTAATGCTAGACCTTTATTGGTAACAGAATTGGTCTTATTTGGGTAACTGTGGGGGGAAAAAAGTGCAGTTAAATTGAGTTTCTTTTACTCTTTTTACTTCTGTAAAGCCTTTGCATAAATATAATAATAATAATAATAATAATAATAATAATACCTGCATTTTTTCAGATACTTTTGTAATAGGACATCACATTGAAGTAGCTCACTTATGGCTGTAGTATTTTGTTGTCTTTAATTTGGACACAGAACTGTAATTAATGTAGAAAGAGCAGAATTACAAATATCACA